GGATCCAATCTAGGTGAGGGAACAGGCTTAGAGACCCAAGCCAAGGAGTCTGCCCACTTCATCAACATGCCTTGCATCGTAGTTTTGGCATGGTGTGCTATAGGACAAGGATTATTGTTCTGTCAGTGGTAGCAGGTCTTTGGACCGTCACATTGTCTACGGTCATTAGCGGTTCAAAGTACACCAGGTGAACCAAATATTTCCCGTGAAGCTTAATTTTTCCATCCTCGTGGCCAACTCCACAGTAGGCTTGGGCATAAACGCTAAATTTAACCCGTTTGTTGCATGCGGATTGAGTCAGATCTCTCCCTAGTCGAACATTAGCCGGTATCAGTAACATATATTCCTTTCTTTAAGTCAACTTCCACCTTATCCTACTCTCGCCCGCGAATAGACTGACCACTTGCTGTTGTGCGCGAAACTTGAGTTCGGCCTCTAAGGTGTTTCGTGCGGGCAGCAGGACCTATTTGCGTTCTCCGCTGACATCTGCTTCTGACCTCTCGCGAGTTTTTTTATCTGTCCTCTTGACCTTATTCAAGCTGATTTGAGTCTGGTACGTAACGCCTGACAGAATGGATGAAGCTCCATGAATCAGCTAAATCTGCCTATTGAGGACCATCTGAGAAGACAAAGACGCGGTCGCTGGGACAAGGCCTTTATTCGCCTGCTGTTTCGGATTCCTTCTCAAACCCAGCCTCAGGAACAGCAGCAGTAGCAGCGACAGAAACGGTTAGTTCGTACAGAACGAGTTGCATAAATCATATTATGCAGTCGCTATGCTACAAGTCTCTAAACAAGTGCAATGACCTCCGCAACCCATATTTGATGCTGAGACTCACTTTGGATAGGGAAATTCGCTGCTCGGGGTGCACACGGACGAACACATTTTCTAATTTCAGTGCTGGTGAGTCAGCTGGTCGAGCAGTCATCACGCCCAAGCCCAGCACGAGTGATGAAATTTCCGCAGGTCATGACCCGTATGCCGGCTATCAAGCCATTACGCACCAGAGGGCAATCATCCTCCATTAATTGTCATACGCATGCGGCAGCATAGCGACTGTATCCCAGAAATACTGCAACTCCCTGTGTACGAACTACCCTATTTTGCTACTGTTTCTGAGGATGGGCTCGAGAGGAAATCCGAAACTTTAGGCAACTAAAGAGCTTGTCCCAGCGATCTCGTCTACTTCTCCTCAAGCACGCCCCTGGACTCACATTTTTACTTCTTTCGGGGAGCAGTGGGTGAACACCAGTATAGGTGCCTTCTCATTGGTTCTACTGACGACGTTCAATTTCTTTTGCGAAACTGTAGTCCTGCTGTCGTACCAGATGTGGTTTATGCTCGCGCTTGAGTTGAAACAGTTGTGCGTCTGTTCCAGCACCCCATTGGAGTAATAAAACAAAGTTGTGCCGGAAATCTGAATATTCTCAATGCCTTCTTTGGTTGACCCGCTCATAATTCACACTGATATAACTACTATCGTCCTCCTCTTCCAAGAAGCGCTGTGCTCTATTTTCTCAGTGTCTATTCATTCGACATGCGAAAGTTTGCTGCCTCTCGCTTTCCCCTTCCAGCTCGTGTTGGTTTTACGCGACAGATGCCAATACTTGAGTACACCAGAGCGTATCCTTCAAATTAACAGTCGTGCAATGTCTGAATTTCAGGTAGTGCACGATTCATAGTCTGCAATTAACCCGTGTGGTAACTCATCCAAGAAAATATCTTTTTTTTAACTTGCCTTTAAAGGAAGGACGGAAACGAGAAGAGGAGATGCACAGATTAGCGCAAGAAGCTAGACAAGCGGAAGAAGCGAAGCTGATTCGAATTAGATCTGAAACTTCTACCCCGAGCACAAAGAGTAGGGCACGTCCTACACCACTGACTGCAGCCTCCTCCACTCGGGAGGTGTGGGCGCCAGATGAAGAGGAGGACCTCCTCATGATCGAACCTGACAAGGATTTCTTCCAAACCGAGATTGAACCAGAATCCACACAGTTGTCGTCAAAAGACGGGAGGCGGCGGTCTCGAGGAAGCAAAGTGCCACTTCCGAAGAAACCAAAAGTGGGAACTCCCGTGAGTTACTCTATGTGGGTTTGACTGGATGTGTTTCTCGGCCGTACAGAGTATCTAGTTAGGGTGCCTAATTAATACATACAGTATGGCGAGTGTTGCAAACAACATTCCGCAATTTGAAAAAGACTGCTAATCACTCGCAAGTCTACATTGAGTAGAGTTGCAATGGACTTTATCGTGCAGTCCAATTTCATTTTTTTTAAGTCACGCTAGAATGCCGACTCTCTGATGAGCTCCTCTCTGACCGCTGCAAAAAAGTAGATTCTGTAAATAATGGCTTCTCAAATAGTATGCATTTTTATAATTGATTTTGACTGCCTTAATAAATTCAAATGTATTTTATGGAAATCATGCATGAAAAATAACCCTCTCTCGGACTTATTTGATGGAAAATTACGCCTTTTTAAAATTTTATTCTAAAAGGAAGGGTTTCCTTCGGTTTAAAAAAATTCTAAAATTGAGTTTTTTTACGACGATGTGGTGTGCATTCA